TACTATATCTCTTTGCAATTGGTAATCTATTTTCAATTTTTTTTTTTTTTTTGGCGCTTTTGATTCCCATAACACCCCTATTAAGGAAAATGAATACGCATATGTTTTCAGATGTGGGAACAGAATCCTAAAGAAGGTGATTGATGTGTCTAAGTAATAATTATAAACAGCAGAGCCAAAACTGGATTTCAGGGGCTATTGCCTCAGTCAGATTTTTTTACAGCATCCTAATTCCTAAAAAGTTATGCTTAAGTCAGTGGTCTACCTAGATATTACTTTCTTACTTATTTCAAGCTTCTGTTTCCTATTAGTTTATTCACTTGACTTTTGTTTCTCTAGTAAGTACCTAAATTAATAGAGAAACAAATGTTCATCCAATTTAACTGAGCCAGTAGTTTGACATTTTTATTAAATGTTAGGAAATGAAATGTGCAGTTATAGTCAAAGATTAGAGGAATTATAGGAAAACAGTACTGGGTGCTGTTGTATGAACATTAAAAAAATCAGTTTCAGGCAACATTTCAAATTTCTTACCTCATTTTCCCACTGACCCCAATTTTCTGAATCATTCCTTTATTTTTTAAAATGTGGTTTAATCACATAAATTTTGAAGCTGCCTTAAATCATTATGTAACAAAATGGATTATACATAAATTAACTAATGAATTATATACACTGTAGTTTTGCATAATACATAGGAAAATACTATTTGCCTTCCTGTAATACATGGATCTAAATTTTTAAACTATATCTTTTTTATGTATTTGTAAATAGTGTCTCCAAGCCAAAATGGTACCATGGGCCTTTTAAAAGGAAACTATAGATAGATTTATAACTGTGACCCTTCCTATTTGCATTTGTTACCAAGTAAGAGTCACGTATGCTACATAAAATAGGCCTCAATAATTATGATTGGTCGCCTAGTTGAATGAGGAAAACCTCTGAATTGCAGACTAGCTTAACAAAAATTTATGGAAAGTTATTTTTTAAGTAATGATACTTCTGAAACCTATTCTAATAATGCATCCAAGTTGATAATTTATCTTAGACATACTACATACTCTCAAAGAATTAATATTGTCATGGTTGCACCACTCTGAAGGGCCTGCACTCTAATTGTTTATTCTTTAATTAAATCCAAATGGGAATGGATTAGTGCTTGGAGCGAAATTTTTTTTTTTTTTTTTTTTGAGACGGAGTCTCGCTCTGTCGCCCAGGCTGGAGTGCAGTGGCCGGATCTCAGCTCACTGCAAGCTCCGCCTCCCGGGTTCACGCCATTCTCCTGCCTCAGCCTCCCGAGTAGCTGGGACTACAGGCGCCCACAACCGCGCCCGGCTAATTTTTTGTATTTTTAGTAGAGACGGGGTTTCACCGTGGTCTCGATCTCCTGACCTTATGATCCGCCCGCCTCGGCCTCCCAAAGTGCTGGGATTACAGGCGTGAGCCACCGCGCCCGGCCGGAGTGAAATTTTTTATTACATGTCTAAGCCTAACAAATTTTAAATTAAACTAACTGGATGAAAATGCAAGTACTTTTCCTAATTTGTTTATGGAAGTATCTTCTAAAAAAGAGATTGGGACATATATTTTTGTCCTATATTATTTTTTGCTTTGCTGTTCATTAAAAAAATATGAGTTCTCTTTCTTCTCATTTTCACCCTGTAGGTGTTACGTTTTAAAAAACTGTTATAATAGCACATGGCTGTTGGAAGATGATCTTTGAAAAAAAAATACAGTAAAAATGATGTCTTCCTGTTTAATTTATACAGTAAGAGAATAATCTCACCCTTGACCTAAATATCCTGTCATTTCCCTTCTCCCCATTTTCATTCCCAGGCCACTGCAGCTGGTCACAAGGTTTTAAATATCATCTATATGTGTCTCTTAAATGTCTATGTTCAACCTAGACTTCTATGAACTCTGAATCCTTATTGCCAACTATCTACAAGATATCTCCTTCATTTGGATGTCTCGCAGACCTCTAAACATTATCAAATCAAAACCACACTCCAAAACTTGACCCCCAACCTTCTCCTCCTGCAGCTTCTCCAAACCAGTCAACAGCAACTCCATCTTTCTAGTTGCCTAGGCCCCAAGCATTGAGGTCATCTTTTCTTCTCCCTCTCCTTCTCTCTCTCTCTCCATCCAATAAATTAATGCTATCACCTCTATCCTCACTATGTCCATGGTGGAAATATTTCTCATCACCTCACCGTCCTGGTTCAGGACCCATCATCTTATCTAGATAGATCAGCAGCCCCTCTCTGCTCTCCTTGCTTTATCTCTGGCTCCATGCATTCTACTCTCAACTCAGCAGCCAGAGTGATGCTGCTTCATGTTAGTCATCTGTTCAAAATCTCCAGTGGATCCCCACCCACTGCAAGTAAGAACAGAAGTCCTTATCATGACCCATAAGACTTCATGACATCTGGTCCTGGCCCCATGACTCCTTCCTACCACCTGCCTCCTTTCCTACTCTCTTCCAGCCTCACAGGCCTCCTCATCACTCTTGACTCAAGACCATTATCATTGGCTTTCTTTTCCTTCCTTCTACCTAGAATGATTTTCTCCAACTCCTTCATCAATTTCAGTTTTCTGCTAAAATGTCAGCTTCTCTGGGACTGACAATCCTATTTAAAACTGCATCTTCCCAAGCATTTCTCATTGCCCTTCTTTGCCTTGTGTTTCTCTGTGTTTTCCTTGTATGTGTGTTTAATGCCCGTCTTTCCACATTTGTTATCATCTTCGTGAAGACAAGAATTCTTGTCTGTTTGGTTCGTAACTGAATTCCCAGCATCCAGTACCTGGCACTCAGGAAGCATTCACTCAACATTTATGCAATGAATGAAAGGAAGGGAGGGAAAAGAAGACCTGATAGAGAAGCACAGTGGTGCTGAAGTAGAGCTTGTGTGGAACAACTGCTAGGGGAGAAGATGGGAAAGACAGATTGAGGAGAGCAAGCAAGTGGATGGCTTCAGCCACGGGAATAAAAAGAGTTTCCAGTAAGTGAGTGTCTTGACCACGGCATTCTGACAACCACGTAGAGAAGAAATGTGATGCACATGTTAAGGAAATAGCACACAAATTTGCAAGCTGTTGTATCAAAGGTTCATCAAGTACGTATTTTTCTTTGCAATGAAAAACTCAAACTAGCTGAAGTAATTTGAAGGCTCACATAGCTGAACAATCCACAAGCAAATATGGCTTCAGACATAGCTTGTCCCAGGACTCAGATGATATCAAGACATCCCTTTTATCTCTATTTCTTGGTATTGTTTGCTCAATTGTCAGCACAATCAGCAGGCCTCATATGGATACAGGTCCTGCATCCTCTCTTAGAAGTCTCAGGGGAAACCTCCAGGCTTTTCATTGCCTCTAATGGAGTCACATGCCCATTGCTCAGGCAACTATGATGATCTGGGAATGGAAGGCTCAATAGACTTAGACTAGGATACACACTTCACCCTCAAGCTAAGGGTTGGGTAGCAGTTGGTTTTCCAGAGGGAACGTGGTATATAACTGTTATAAGAGGAGGGAAATGGAGACTTTTAATGATGAACAGATGACCACTACAAAGGGCTAATGAGGGCTTGAACTTGGGTCACTGCAGTTGAAATGAAAAAGGGAGAAAAGAAGTAACAGAGATGACGTCTAGTAGGCCTCCTGGCTCTGAATGGAGAGAGGATGCAGAGAAACTTTAGTACAATTCTGAGATCTTGAGCTTGTGTGATGAGAAGTTGGCAATGTCATTAATGAAGGTTCATGATGAAGTAGGAGGAACAGACTTGTAAGAGACAGAACGCCTTTCCTTGCTTTCTCATCCCTGTTTTTATTAATAAAATTGTTTCCAGATTCTCAGAGCCCAAGAACCATAGAGTTCTGCAAGAGGCAAGACGCAAATTCTTCCGCCAACCACTTATTTTCAGAAGACTTGTCCCTGCAGTTTTAAAAAGTCTTCTCTCTGAGCTCATGTGTGAGAGAATCAGACTGAAATTTTATTTTCTCTCAATAGTTTGAGTTTCCTTTGGTTGAGCTGTCAGCTTCTATGGAATAAGAAACCACAAGTCAGAGCTGGGTTCAAGCATCTCTTATAGACCATTTCCACACAGATGACTTAGGGTTGTGAGGCCATCTTCTAATGTACTGTGGATGGATTAGGCTTAGAAAAACATATGATGCTCATCTATAGAACTCTACTGGATGCCTAACAAATTACAAAGTGAGAAACTTTTCATCATTGATGGACCTGGTGCAAGAAAGGAGTAAAGGCAGGCACCGAATAACAAAGTGACATATGCAAATGTAGTAACCAGCAATTTTTTGAGTATTTACCATTGGCCAAGTACTGTTTTAAATTCTCAACATATAATAAGTCATTTAATCACCATAGCAATACTTTGTGGCGAGTACTATTGTTATCCCCATTTTACACGTGAGGAAACTGAGATCTAGGAAGATCCTTGTTGATGTACCTTGTCAAGGTTCCCACAGCTAGTGACTGGTATGGCTAAGATTCAAACCTAAGCAGTCTGGCTCAAGGGCCTGCCTTCTTAATAAACTGATCATATATTCCAGAACTGCCCAATACAGTCATCATTTCTGCCTGCTGTCTTGGCATAATTATAAATGTGAACTCTAGAAAGTGTCCCCATTTGGGCAATAAATTATTGACACTATTTCTCTGAACCATGATATTTTCCTTATTCAAAACCAAGAAAATCTAGCCTGAGCAATAAAGGCATCCAAGTGGTTCAGTTGTATCTCCAGGCATATGAGGGGTGACATTTTGGATTGAATATGACTATTTGGTAATCATCCAGTTGGTCCTAAGAATTAAAGCAGCTGCATGGGTTGGCATAGCTTTGGTTTTAACCAGCGTATCACTCTGCTCTCTTGCAACTTTTAAGGCTCTGTTTTATGCTACAGTAAAGTTGTCAATGACCATATTTTGCCTATTTCGGGAATGGTTTTATTTATGCCTCAACATTTGGCTCCTTCAGGTTCCCCCAGATCTCCAGAACGAAGTGCTGATCAGCCTGTTAGAGACCGATCCTGACGTCGTGGACTATTTACTCAGAAGAAAGGCTTCCCAGTCATCGTGAGTATTCCAGTGTTGCATCTTCTAAAGCCTCATTGGAGATTTCTATTTCCATTTCTGAGAAATTGGAAACGTTCACACAACTACATGCAGGGTGACCTGAAGTGGAATTTTGGCACGTTTTTGACGATTCTGATCAGTCCATCTAACCAGAAAATGCTTCAGTCCCATCAATCCACTTACCAAATTAGAAACCACATTACAAGATTTCTCTGTTTCATTTTCAGCTTTCTCTAGCCTCTCAGGGTCTTTTGACTTCATTTACAGGGAAAAAGCACTAAATTACTGGCAAGGGACTATAATGCATGTCAATGATTCTACTTCTAGAATGCTGATAAGCATGCGTAGGGGCCCTTAAGGCTGCGCCTGGATGCATCTTGCTTGTGCAGCTTTACCAGTGGGATTAACCCATTATCAAACCACAAGACAGACCTTAGCTGAGGCCTAGGTGCCCATTTGAAATTAGAGGTGTGCACCCTCTTAGCTCTCCCATTTTTTATACCTAGTATTATTTTGATAAAGATGCACATGGGTTTCTACATACACTTATGTTTGCAATTAGTAAAATGCAAGCCATGCTGCAGGCTATGGCTTGCTGCCATTTTTGCTCCCAAAGGAGGAGTGCAGAGTTTTTGCATTAGTCAGATTTTATGGTTACTTCCAATCTTTGCTGCAGAAGCAGAGGGTGTGGGGACGCTGAGCATTTGGCATACCAGTTAAGGGCATAATATAGCATCATTAACCAGGAGTAGTATTACTACTATGACACCAAACCATAAATTTGTGACAGGAAAAGTTGTTGCTATGCTCTTATAAAATTATCACTTTTGTTATACTTTTAATCTACTAAATTTCAGCAATTCTAAGATATGTTTCTCCCATGCCCTATCATCTCTGAAATTGAGACTAATCTTATAACCAACGACAAGCTCCTAACGTAATCCTGTACCTGTAATCCCAGCACTTTGGGAGGCCGAGGCGGGCAGATCGCCGGGGGTCAGGAGTTCGAGACCAACCTGGCCAACATGGCTAAACCCTGTCTCTACTAAAACTACAAAAATTAGCCAGGCATGGTGACAGGCGCCTGTAATCCCAGCTACTCATGAGGCTGAGATGGGAGAATCGCTTGAACTCGGGAGGTGGAAGTTGCAGTGAGCCGAGATTGCACCACTGCACTCCAGCCTGGGCAACAGAGTGAGACTCCGTCTCATAATTAATTAATTAATTAATTAAAATAATGGCATGTCTTAATTGATGGTGTCTTATGAACAGTAACACATGTTAATGTATTCCTGTATATTGGTGTTGAACTTGATAAATTGATTTTCACTTATGATTATTTCAGATACTTAAAAAGTTACATTATTTAGAGAAATTTGGTGAAAAGGAATTCCATGTTGTTCAACCTCCTTGTTTCCCAGGTCATTACAATGATAGCACAACTAAATTCAGCTTCACTCCATTTCTAGCTTAGCAGGGAAGACCTTTTAATTGGATTATCCTTTCAGATGTACTTAAAAAAATCTATGTCTGGGCCATTCATTATCAGGCCAAATTCTGATTCAAATAGGACCAAATTCTGTTGAAAGTAAGGCCTGAATTCAAGCCCCAAAAGCCATGAGTGAATAAAATTATATTCAAATTGTGTAGATGAGCTAGTATTTTATGATCTTGCTTTTCAGATCAGAGAATTAGGCTTACACCTGAATTTCTTGTAGATTTCTAACCCTCATCAAGGTATAAGTCTTAATTAACAAATGACTTTTCTTTTCAGCAGATCACGTACCACCATAATTTTAATAAACTCATTTATTTCCCTCCCTTGTACAGAAAACAGACATGGTGGCATTTCTATTTATAAGCCCCTCATTAAACTGCACTTATAATATGGTTAGTAGTATATGGGAAAGCTATAAACTACACACTTTTGAAGAAAACCACTGATTTTTGCCTGGCCAAATTTCTGCTTTTGTGTGGCATTATTAGATAGATAAATACTATACTTTAAAGAACAGTTGATAGAAGTTATTTTTACATGGTTTTCAAATACGCTCTTTGAATATAAATGCCATGGTAAAAAAGCGAACCTTTCTTTCTCTTCTATTAGGAAAAGGAAGAAGCACACATATTAAGCCCATCCCAAGCTGTACAATTGTCCAGCCCCTTCTGTTCCCTATCCGTAAGAGTAAGAAGTAGAATTGTAAGGTGTAGGTAAGCAGACCCTAGACCAAGATTTTAGGTGAGTGTCAGGGCTTCCAAGAAAAGAAGAGTGAGCCCATAGAAGCTCTGTGTATGTCAGAGACTAGCATTACCAGTGAACAGAAAACACTGGGGGAAGACTTACTTAGGAGAAGAAAATGTTTGGTTTTTGTTTGTGTTCCTCTAGGTACAGGACAAGGAACAGCCCAGAAGGCAGAGAATGATGTCATGAAGTAAAAATGCATACGTGAATGTTTACTTTTAGTGATCTTTTGAGGCTTGAGAGTGCTACCTCTCCAGCTGTAGTTGCTTTTTTTTTTTTTTGAAATCGAGTCTTGCTCTGTCACCCAGGCTGGAGTACAGTGGCACAATCTCAGCTCACTGCAATCCCCACTTCCCGGGTTCAAACAATTCTCCTGCCTCAGCCTCCCAAGTAGCTGGCATTACAGGTGCATGCCACCACACCTGGCTATTTTTTGTATTTTTAGTAGAGACAGGGTTTCACTATGTTGGCCAGACTGGTCTCGAACTCCTGACCTTGTGATCCACCCGCCTCAGCCTCCCAAAGTAGGTGATCTTTTTGTGCTTTAAACTCACTCACTCATGCTTCCCAAACTTTACTATGCGTAGGTATCACCAGATCTTGTTAAAATGCTCTTTCTGAATCAGTGGGACTTGGGGAGGTAGTCTATGAACCCGAATTTCTAACAAGCTCCCAAGTGATGCTGATACTACTGGTCCATGATCCACACTTTGAGTTTTAAAAGCTTAAAATATCAAAGTGTATTCTTGCCTTTAGGAGCTTTCAGACTTGTTGGAGTAGGCCTCCAAGGGTAGAATGCAAAACAACAGGTGCTGGCCCACTGCCTCTCAGACTCACCAGCCCCTTAGAATCACCTGGGAGCTTGAAGAACAACTATGCCTGGGCCACCCCTCAGAGATTCTGGTTCATTTTTATGCGCTGCAATCTGGACATTGGGATTTTTTAAAGTCTCTTGCATGATTCTAATGAGCAACCAGGGTTAAGATCCTCTAGCTTAGATCCACCACATTGGATATCACAAATTTAGTATCACATGGGAGTTTGAGCTGGGTGGTTTTTGATATTAAAAAGGCATCCTTGTGTTGACAAAGGAAGGGAACCAATGCTCCAGACCATGAATCCACTTGGAGTTTGGAGAAGGGAAAGAGGTGTGATTTGAAGTCTCAGAGATGGCTTTTGGGAAGAGGAAGGATTTGCAGTGAACTTTGAAGACTGTGGAGGATATAAACAGGCCTGGATATTTGGGAAGCTCGCACCAGGACCTGGACATAACAGTAAATATGTTGGCTAGCTGGGGGCACAATAAAGAGGCTGGCCAGCACTGAAGGTAGAAGCCCTTAAATGGCAGGCTGAGGGGTGGTGCTTAAGTCAAGAAGCAGTGACAATAGATTACTGTAAAGCTAAATTATAGTAAATTACAGTACTCTAAACTGCCAGATGGTGCTGACTGCATTGGCAAGTCAGTTATCCATCAGTAACACATGTTTGTGTAGTCAGTTATCTGTCAATAACACATGCTTGTGTAGTTTAATAGACTGGTTACCGTTTCAGATCCAGAGCCAGATTGCCTAAGTTTGAATTCCATTTCTATTGCTATTAGATATGTGGTCTATTAGTTAAGAGTTAATATCTGTTAATATATAGATAGATCTCTCTTTCTCTAGTTTCCTCATCTGTAAACTAGAGATAAAAAGTAGCACCAACTTAAATACAGAATTATGCTCTTAGAATATAGTCTGGCTTATAATAAACATCATCAATTTGTTCATTTACAACTACTTACCAAAGGCTTGGCCATCACTAGATTCTACTTTGGTTTTCAGGAGATAGCAACCTTCCAGGCAATATGACACAAGAGAGAACCCATTCACTTTAAGTTATAGCATTGTGTCTAAAAGCAAACACTATGTTTGCTTCTAACCCTTTGATTTTTTTTTTTTTTTTCTGAAGCTTCTGTTCTCTGCCACCAGTTCACGTACCTAAATAAAGCTTTACATTCCTGTGAGGCCAAGTGGAAACTGCACAAGATTTTATTTGGAGAAAAGAAACAAGTTTTCAAAAGAGTGTAAAACCAAGAACAAGAAAATATTATAATTTCTGTTTTGAAAGAGCAAACGTTTAGTGATATTTGGGAACTTAATGTTTTGTTTTGATTTGGGTTTTTCACTTCTTTATGCAACATCGGTATTGGAGGAGTTAAAGGATAATTCCTTGTTTTTTGTCATGCTTGTCTGATTAAATGTTTGACTTCAACCAAAATGGGATGCCAGAGGGAGATTAGAAGAGATTTTTACGACTGAGAATGCAAGACCAGGAGTTTGTGACCAGCCTGGTCACCATAGCAAGACCCCAGCTCTACTAAAGAAAAATTTAAAAATTATCTGGGCATGGTGGCTCATTCCTGTACTCCCAGCTACTCGGGAGGATGAGGCGGGAGGATCACCTGAGCCCAGGGTTTTGTGGCTGCAGTGAGCCAAGATTATGCCACTGCTCTTCAACCTGGGCAACAGAGTAAGACCTTGTCTCTAGAAAAAAAGAAGAAGAAGAAGATAGAAAGAATTTGATTTAAAAATATATATACTTGTCAGGTATATTTATTAGCATTATATATGCTCTTTTCTTCAAAGGTACTTAAAATAGTTCCCCTCCCCTTTGATTTAAGGATGTGAGGAAATAGGGAATGAGAATGGGAGGTTAATCAAACAGGACAGCATATGTTGAACGTGAGTATTTGCAACAGAACAAAGGAATCACAGTA